GAAGGAAACCGCTCGTCTGAAGGTTCAGTCACGTTCCAGCGCTACAGTCGGGGTTCATTTAGGATCAACACTGATTATGAGTCATCTTTTCTGCAGCACAAATGAAAACATCAGGGTCCAAATGTGGCGTAAAACAAACCCCGACTCAGAACCATTCAGTGCCTTTCTTATGTGTTTCTTGTGTTTAATAAAACGTTCCTCCAGTGTTCCTCGGCTGCTGTAACCAGACCGCCGAGTGATGGCAGACATTTTTAAATTCAGTTTTATCAAGAAATTAAAATACAACATCACGAATCGTCAAACTGCAGGACATTGCATTCACTCATCAGCCTTTGTTCATAATTAATATGAACAATATTCATGTAAAAACAGAAGTTTTGGTCATTTCAACCTAAAATATCCAGTTTTTATTTATTTTTTAAGTGTTCAGACTTTGAGGTCTTTTGAACTGTTGAGAATTTAATTCACAAATTAAATCGTGTTTGTAAAAAGAATAAAACCAGAATTAGACTTTGCAGATTTTATGGTCACATGTTCTCATTTGTGAAAACAGATTTTTCTCGTGGCTGCTTTTGTTTTTTACGGATTAAATGTAAAATTCTTTTCTTTCCGTAGCTTTACACGATCTTATCTGTTATTGACCAGAAACAAAAACTATTTACCTTCATTCAGTCCTTTAATCTGCAGATTCTTCTTTGAAATAATGACAAATATCAGTGAAATGTTATTTTTGTCAGATTTAAATGCAGTAAAAAAAAAACACTGAGAAACAACAAATGACGTTGATCTGTTGTTGTTTTTCAGCTAACATGTAAATAATGTTGTTTTCTGTCATTTTATGAGATATGATCTGTAATTTAACAAAACAATCTGTGAAATAACTGTCAGTATTTAAAACCATTAATATACAAACGTTTTCTTTCATTAACAGCAAATATCTGTTTTTAAAAAAAGACGTTTTTGTCTGATTTAAATGCAGTAAAACGGTGGAATTGAACAGTTATGAAAGAACAAGTTATCATTTGTAAAAGACAGATTTCTGATGTGGAAGTTATTTACAGTTTTGGCTTTTTTTAATGTTTATTTTTATTGATTTTTGTCAGAACAGCTATTTACACGTTTCAGTTCATAATATATTTATTTTTCTTTCAAATTAAAGTAAATATAAGTTTTTTAAAAAGACCTTTTTAATTCAAACGTGTATTTTTATGGTCTCATGCTGTAACTGACTATCTGTAATCTGACTAACTATTATCTGTGATTTGACCAAACGATGAACGTCTGTGACACGACAGGATCAGGACTTTAGATTTCTGCCAGCTCCAGTCTGAGGTGGACATGAAGCCCCAGCAGGCGCCGTGCGATCGTTGTTTCGTCCTGATAAACAGAAACTGGAGAAGAAACACCGACCGGAGCCGAAACAGAACCAGGAGGCCCGAGCCTGAACCACCTGCAGGCCTGAAGGTGTTCACGCTTCCTTCTGCCGCCGTCTCTCACACGAGCACTTTTGTTGAACCGTCACATGCGAGTCGCCGCCTCCCCGGCAAACCCACGGCCGTTTGGAATAACAGGCGAATAAATGGACGAGGGGGAAGAACAGTGGAGTGAAACCACAGTGGAACTCAGCGATGGTCAGCCAGGCCCACCACGCCTCGGCAAATGTTTGTCCAAACCTGTTATTTCTGGCATTGTACTGTCTCAAAGAGATCATTTTATTCTCCGGGAGGAATGCAGCAGCTATAAATAGTGCTGAGATGAAGGAGGGGAAATCAGAGATTTGTAGAGTAATTACAGAGCCTCGGTCGAAGCCTTCTGTTATGGCTCGTTTTTCATCAACCTCTGTCTCCACGACTGTCTGACTGACTGACCGATGGCTTTCTCAGCGCGTCTGACCTCATATCTGACCTCTGCTGCGTCCCTCAGTCGCTCTGAGCTGAAACGAGAAGATGCTGCATCTGGACAGAAACAAGCTTTCATCACTGAGCTCGGCTTAATTCACACCAACAAATCCATCACAGTTCACACGTTTCCTCTCTTGGTTTGACGGACAAGCTGTCTGGGAGGTACAAACCGAACAACTGGACAGTAACTGATTACATTTACTCGAGTATTCTCATTTTATGCTCTTTTGAACATCATCCACTGCATTTATCACCGTTTTATGCTTTTAAATGCAGATTTTACACAACAAACCACCAACAGAAGCCTTTTTTTTTCTGCCTTCCTCAGATTTACCTTCTGTTTTGGTAAATAAAACGTAAAATAGTTGAAGCAGCTGCTGATAATCTGAACACGTCATTTATTACTCAGCTTCAGTGACCAGACCAGGACTTCACTACTTTAGTACTGGAGCAGGAGTTTTATGCACGACTTGATTTAGTCTTTAAACTTTGCTGCACCACTGAATCTAAACTAGAAGTCAGGGTTCGTGTCACATTGGAGGAATATCTGCTTTTTTTTGTGATCTTCTGCCAGAATTGCAGAATTTATCAGAGCCAGAATCCGTAAAGACGGAAAGAACAGGCAGATGTTGGACCTCCTGTGACGTGCCGCTCTAACGGGAAACTCATGAAGCCTTCCTTGAAAGCGTTGCAGTTATTCTACATGTGTCATTTAAACATGTTTGCCAAAAATGACCAGTTTGCACAAAACCGGATTCTGTTAAAAAACTAGAAACGGGTCAGTCATCGGGGACTCGGCTGTGACTTGCAGCAAAAATTCAGCTCGACTGTGTTTCCACAGAGCAGATAGGAGACAAATCAAAAACGTAGGAAGCTGCAAAATATCTAAAGTATGTACAGCAGAGGGCTGGTAGCGCCTGTGGGCTCCTGGAAAAACATTGCACATGTTGATTCCAGGTTGTTTTCATCTTTCATAAAGCAAATAATGAAAAACCAACAACTTTCATCTGCTCGTTTTGAGGATTGATTGGATTCAGTGTCACCTCTGAGTTCTCTCTCCTCCTTCGTGTCGTTCTGGTTCCACTGAGCTGCAGGACTTCATGTCGTAAAGAAAAATGAACCACAGCGAAGAAAAATGTGACAAAAAAAACATCCAAAAAGTAGCTGAGGTTCAGAGAATAAAGTAAATGAAAATGTTCAAATATAATGAAATAGAGCAAAACAAAAGCTTTTAATATGTAGAATGAGAAGAGAAAATGGACCCAATAATAATAATACTAATAATAATAATAATAAGATGGGGAATCAAGCTAGTCAATACAAAGAGCAGAAGTAAAACAGCCAAAGAATCAAACCTCTGAATCACTCTCTGTTCTTTTGTTGCTCTGACAGCACTTGTGTCTTAAATGATCTTTGTGGAATATAAAAGGACTTTTAGCTGGTAAATTGCAGTAATTATCAAACATGCCCTTCTCATTTTGCACAGTCAGACCTCGTTGGCAAATTCGCCCCGGCAATTAAGAAAAGCTGGAAATGAGTGACAAGTAATGGTGCGGCCCACAGATGAGGACAGGCGGCGGAGAGGGAAGGCTGGGAAATGAGCCCGACAGACGGAGAGGAGCTGCTGCTGAGCGTTCTGCTCAGAGAAACAGATGTATTCGCAAGAGTATGGCTGCGTTATAGGTAACCCTGAGTGCTCCTTCGTTTCTGGCCTTTTCAGTGTCTTTCCTCCCTGCTGGAGACGCTGTGTACAGTCTGAGGGAGGAGGTGGAAGAAGTGGGGGGCATCAGATGCAAATGACAGTGTTTCAGAACACTTTGTCGCCAATCATAAGCAAATTACAGCTGCACAACATCCAAAGTGGCTCCTGGAGGATCGAGAGAGGAAAAGTAGACATTGACATGGACTGTTCGTTCATTTCAAACCTTATCCATTAATCAGCAGCCACTCCTGAGCAGCAGGGTGGGAGGGAGGCGCTCCCAATCAACAGGAAAATAATCTCACTAAAATGAGCGTTTAAGTCAGTACGAGCACAGGATTAGAGATCAAGTGTTCCTTTAACAAACTGGTGAAGCACTGTTGCAGGTTTGTCAATCTGGAATTAAACTGATAAGAAAAGGTGGCAAAACATGCAACGCTTTGCACAACAACAAGGGGAAAAAACATTTTTTTTTAGTACTTTGAGTCGTTTGTACCATATTTAATGACAAGCATCAGGTGTAAAATGCATTAAAATAAGCCAACAAAAGCCTTTCATGACTTCTACCTTGTTACTTTAACTGACTATTTTGGATTTGAAGCACAAACAGCATGAAGTCAGTCTGAGCCTTTATTTTTACTGACAGAGAAATGGCGCCCTCATGTGGACAGACCGCAGCGCTGCACCAATCCGTGTTCACAGAGACAAACTACATTATTATTATTATTATTATTATTATTATTATTATTATTATTATNAGTCCCCTTCCTTTCTTCAACACACATGGACAGTTAAGACTGGTACTTAAATATTTCTTTGATTAACAGGTAAAAGCTAATTCATTATTGGTTTATTGAGCATAATTTCACTAGAAGCTGTCGTAACTCAGTGAGGCTGATGCAAACGGTTGCGTTACCTGTTTTGTTGAGCGCAAACATTATGTTTCGGAGTGTGTTACAGGGATTTGAGATAAACTTCAGCATTCTGACATGCTTACAGTGACAATGGTAATGTGCTGATGTTCAAAATGTCAACCTTTCATCATATAGTTTACAGTACTAATACTTTAACATTTGCTACTTATAAGAGTGCTGGATAAACTGAAAACTGGACTCGACAATGACCCAACTGAACGACGCCAGACTGCCAAAGGTATTAATAATAATAATAATAATAATAATAATAATAATAATAATAATAATAATATGCTTCGTGTGTTTCCGTTCGGTTTCGTTCCTCTTCGGAGCTGCTGCGCGCTGAGGTCATAGGTCAGACATTGGAGGTCGCCGGTGGAGCGGGGAGGCAGAACCAGCAGCCACGTCGAACCGAGTCATGACTAAACTCAGATCAGAGCCCGAATAAAACATTTACAGACCCAAACGGACCACATAAATGCGGACATGGAGGCTGAGAACCAAAACACGGTGAGTTAGCGGCGAGTCCGTCTTTATTAGCGCCTCGCTAGCTGCTGCTTCCAAGCTAACGGTGCTAGCGAGGTAACGGAATAAAATCCGTTTATTTCACATTAAATGACTTTGAGTTACTGCGGTCGCTGTGGTATTCTGTTATCGGTGTTATGAGGGTAATTTGTGATGTATTATCAGCGTCTTTCCTTCCCCACATGGAGGCTCCGTTTGTTAAAACGAGAAGGTGCTAGCATAGCGAACGATTAGCTTCGCTCGAGCTTTAGCATTTGAGCGGAAAGTTCAGACGAACTGAGCTTCAAGCGGGTTTTTCCCTCAACATTATAATATTACAGAACCTTATGAGACATCTTGGGTGAAGCTTTAATGCCGTCTGAAACCCACTTTCGCGACTGTGAGACCTTTATTCTATTTGAGAAAATGAACCTTCTTGTGTTTCATGTGGACCACATCAGATAAGAACCTTTACACTGAGACGGTCACATCTGGACCGGATCGTCTCTTTAAAACCTCCTATTTTATTTGTAAAAATGCAGAAAAGGAAGATTCTACTGCTTTTTATCCACACAGAAGGACCAGGTCCAGATTTAAAACCACTACATGTAGATGTTGTGGAGTGATTTGTCAAACTTTACTCTGTAAAACTGCAAAAAGGGAATATTTCTATGCTTTTCTCTCATCTGGACCACGTCCAGATAGAAACCTTTTGTCCTCAGACTGGTCAAGTCTGGACAAGATTGTCCCTGAAAGGTTAAAAAGTCTTAAAACACAGTTTCTGATTTGTGAGAGTGTTCACTGATTCTCATTTCAAGTAAAACTTTGCAGAAACTGGCAGCTTCAGTGGAAAAAAAACAGTAATTTTGGGATTATTTCTGACGTAAATTGGAATATGAGTCATGATTTTAGTGGGAGTTGTAGTTTTTTTAAACAGGTTCGTTTCCTTCCATCAGGGGGATGTGGTTTGTAAGCTGGGGTGAGTTTTTAGCAGAATGTTGTCCAGTAGTTTTAACTTCACTGAAAAATTGTAGCTTAGATCGTATTTTGATCAGTTGCTCGGCTCTACTGATGCTGGAGCCTCTAGTACAGGGGTGTCCAATCCTGGTCCTGGAGGACCACAGTCCTGCATGGTTTAGATGTTTCCCTCTTCCAACACACCTGATTCAAATGATCAGCTCATCATCAAGCTCATCGTTAGCAGAAGCCTGATAACGATCCTGATCATGTGAATCAGGCGTGTTGGAAGAGGGAAACATCTAAAACATGCAGGACTGTGGCCCTCCAGGACCAGGATTGGAGACCCACTATACTAGTACCGCCAGGAAACTGTGTTAACGTGGTTCTAGTCCGTACTGTTCATACTTTATTTTATCGGCCGTCTGCAGATGCGTTGTTTGACTTCAAAGACCTTCCCTTTATTTTTGTTGTTGGTTACACTTCAAGTAGCTCTTTGGAAAAAATGGATTGTAAAACTTAATGTTTTTTATTTCCCTCTGCTTTGTAGTTTGTCAGCCAGACAAACTGAAAAAAACACAATCATATGAGTGTTTACATCAATGCTGCTGCTGACTTTCTTTTTGATCTAGTATCAAGAAACAGACGTAAAGGTCCTCATCTGTTTCTAAGTTCTTCTTGTGCATACTTACAGCATTTGTTTTAACATTTAATAACTAGACTGGACATGCATTACATGACAAACCTGTAGTTCATCCACAGTGTGAATTACAGACATCTGCAGCTGAATTCTGACTAGTTGTAAATCTAGTTTCAGAAATCTGCGGTTTCATTCTGGTGTGTTATAATTCTAGTTTAGTATACCGGTAATTCCCCTCAGTTCACAATATCTACATTGTCCTTGTTCTAGATCTTAATTAAGGTCTCGACTGGTCAGAATGATGTAAATATCTCAAAGTGGAATTCTGCCCAGCCATCAGGCAGCTACACAGGTCTGAAATTAGAGTTTAGACTCTGAAATGACTTTGCAGACATTCGTAGTTCAGTCAGGAACTACAGCAAGTCAGAGGCATCTTACGTTTTAAACACAAAGTGCCATTTCAGAGCAGCCGAGACCAAAGTGCTCTTACGTTTCACCACAGTTCTCTAACAAATGAAGCTCTCGTTCCCTACAAACTCCTCACTGACCAGCTCCTTCTATTCTACAGCGGTTGTTAGTGATGTTATCCGCCTCAGCAGCCGCCATTAGTTCTGCTGAAGCTCTTCAGATGCTTTGCTGCAGCAACAACCAACACGAAATCACACAATTTAGACTCGTCTTCATGACATTTCAGACATTCACAACTATTTAGTAGTTGTTTGGCAAATCCAAACTGAATTCCAGACATCTCTCACTGTCCGTCTGACTCGGCAAAAGACGTTATCGATATCTGGAATAAAAAATGACCTCAGTTGTTCATATCTGTCACGTTAAAATGGTAAAATAAGGAGTACAGTCAGAGCTTTCTCACAGTAATGTCTGTAATGATTCTTACCAGTCCACTGGCTTTGTCATTTTCTCTTTTTCCAAGTTTACATCCTGCTGTGCATCCCAGAGCAGCAGCAGCTCCTCCAGCCCTGACGCGCCGCCTCCAGAAAACCACGCCGACAGCCTGACCCACCACTCCCCCACCGTCGGCACTGTTATCCCCAACCGGATTTTTGTTGGAGGAATGGGCTCCAGCGTAAGAATTGGCAAATGAATCCTCTGCTTCTTAATGTAGAGAAGTATGGGAGGGCAGGAGGATAATGAGAGATGAAAATATCCGTCAGAGGCTTCCTGTTACTCAGCAGTGCCGTCACAGTTCCCCTCTATGATTATTATTTTATCACGTTTTATATTTGAATGAGGTTTTCGATGCCCCCCTGCTGGTTTTTGGCCCATTCTGGAGCAAAAACATTGTTTCTTTTGTTGTGAGAACACGATCCAGCATCTGTACGTGTGTTTTAAGGTGAATGACGGCGACCTGCGATGCGTCTTCTCACAACACGGTGCCATAAAAGAGGTGAAGATTGTCACCAATCGCTTTGGAATGTCGAAAGGGTGAGTTCGTGGCCCCATTAAGTGTTCATCAGTCAGTATCTGTCATTTTACTCACAGCGTTGTTCACGTCTTGGCTGTTGACCACTGAAAACATGATACCCGTTGATTGTGTGTCTTTGAACAGATATGGGTTTGTTACCTTTGAAACCCAAGAAGATGCGCTGAACGTCCTGAGAAACGTATGTAAAGAATAAGTAAAGACATCGTTCCTGCTGTATTTATTTATAATAAATACACTTTGAAGTGGTTCAAAATTCAAAATAAACCTTTTTTTTGCTGTATTTTATTAGAAACAGATCATTAAAAATGATCAGTGAATAAAGAAATAGATGGAAAGGAAACCTTTTACTGTTTACTGTGAGTGTCCGTCGCTGGTTCGCTCAGCTGTCGGTTGGTGTAATAATGCAGGTTATCTCTCCCTGATTCTTGTCTCCTGTGTTCCCCCATCGACATTGTTGAAGGCCAATGGGATCTGTTGCAAAGACAAGATGCTCCTCATTGGTCAGGCCGTCAGAAAGCATCAAACCTCAGGACGAAGTAAGTCGACCGTCTGATACCCGTTTCGCTCACTCTGTGATTTTAAATGCAACCGTAGAGCTGCAGCTGTGACTGGACCTGTTGTTTGATGGTTTGGAAATCGGCTCCGACTCATCGGTTCCTTTCTTCTCCCAGCTAAGAGCGCCTCCACGGCCAGCTCTGAACCTGCGACCCCTCAGCAGATGTGCCTGACCACGTCTACACCCTACACCTACCACAACGGAGTGGCCTACTTCCACTGCCCCAACATGAGCCCTCCTGCCCACCACTGGCCTGTAAGAGCCAACCTGGATATCTGATTGCATGCTTCACGGCTGCTTTCACATCCGTCTTTATCTACACAGTCACAACGACTCAGGAGCAAATGTGTATTTATCTGAACACGCCACTTGTTTGGCCGCCCAAGTAAATCATGTATATTCGCTTCAGCTTACTTTATTTGCGCCTGTGCGTAGGACTGACAGCTACCTTCACTGCTGATTAATCTGTCGATGATCAAGTCATCAGTCAATTGTTTGATCTATAAAATATCAACGAAGGCTGAAACCACGACCAAAGATGACGTCCTGAAATGTCAACGAACCAAAGTTGTTCGGTTTACTGTCACAGAGAAGTAGAGTGACCAGAAAACATTTCAGTTTGAACCCCAAAACAAGCTGGTAGGTTGGAAAGGCTGATATATACATATATATATATATACATATATGTATATTTTAATTGCCAAAAAGACACCATTCATCCGAGCCAAAGTAAAAACAGAAAATATAGTTTAATTCTTCAACGTCACGATGGGCCTTAGACGAATCACGTGTGACTTTTGGTTTTTGTTTCTAACATTAATAAAAATCTAAAAGTATATTCAATCAAAATCACTTCTATTATTTCAGGATTTGCTTTAAAAACAGTCAGTTTGCACCAGATTCTGTAGAAAACGTAAAATTCAGCACAATAAGTGACTCTGCAGCAGCGTGACACACTTTTTTTTAATGAATTTGTCCTCACAGATGATTTGTTTTTTCAGATTTCAGCTCGGCCATGAACAGACACTATGTGATCTGCTTTGACCGATATTGCAGATTCTGATTCAATGACATGATGAGAAATAAAAGTGAAAATTTCAGGCTTTTTGTATTTTTGAAGGTTCCTGAGATGTTGTTCAAACGGCCTCAAATTAAAATGCACCAACAAAACGTGCTGGAAATGGGTCGGTGGCCAACTTTTTAGATTTTATCTTAGAAAGTATTTGATATATTAATGGTATCATATTAATAGTAATGATATATTTAATTCAAGCAGCTGTTGACGAGCAGGTACTTAAACTAAATGTCGGTCCTTCTGTTGTCGGAGGTTTTCAAAAAACTTGCTGCAGACTGTTGCGTATCTCAGCTGGTAAAACGGATGTGGGTGAGTGAAGAGTTGTCAGTGCTGAGATGAATTAATGATTATCTTCTTGCAGCCTGCACGTCAGCTGATGCTTCCTCAGTCCCACCAGCCCGTCTACCAGCCTGCAGCTCATCAGCACTACCAGGTGAGCTCCGCTGATCGGCATCCAGTGACTACCCGCCATCCAACGAGCACAGCGGTGGTTTGAACTGCATTTTAAAGTCTGCTTTCTCTCTGCCTCGCCCTGCAGTGTGTCCCAAACCAGTATCAGTGGAATGCTGTCCAGGTAAAAAGTCAAGCTTTATTGTTAGTTGAGGAGAGTTTTGTCATTTGTTGACCGTTTCTAATCGTCTGTCGTCCAGCTGGCCATGCCCTCCAGTGCAGCCGTGTTTTCCCAGCAGTCGGATTATGTTTACCAGCCTGCTGATGGAGGCTCCATCCAGCCTTCTGTCGCTGTCATGGAGGACGGCGCTCCAGAGGTACCATCACCAAGAACAGCAAACCCCGCTTTCCTCTTTTTAAATGATAGTTAGTGAAACGCCACCAACTGAACTTGTAGAAAATGTTAAGTGTGCAGATTCTGCACCATTTAAATGAGCTCCTGTCCTCCCGGTCAGACTTGCAGCCTGAGTGGAGCATTGCAGTTGTGCTTTTTCAGACGCGTAATATTCTGTATTTTAGAGGAACTGAGTGTTTCGTTGTGGTTCTGCTGGACGTTTGTGTGCAGAAGGAAGCCGCTGCTCACTTGTTCTTGTGCTTCTGCAGTTTGTGGAGCCGACGGTGCAGCACGTTTACCCGCTTTATGCTCCGAGAGCAGAAGGAATGACACCCATTGTTCTGCAGCGTGACCCTGTCAAGGTAAATTAATGACTGGCGCTGACAGTGAGCTGTAGTCACGTTACTTTTCCCCAGTGAGCACCGTCCATGATGAGGACTGCTCAAACTCCATCTGATAAACACATTTCCTGCTTTTCTTGCCGATTAAGAAAAAGAAAAGAAAACATCTAACATGTAGAGAAAGGAGTTGAGGTTATTCTTTCTTTATTTGTTTTATTATTATTCGGTGAGTCAGTGATTTAAACGGGAAGATGACAAAATACCAACCATAGAACCACTTTTCTTCATTGCCAAACAGTTTGTTTAAAGCTAACATGTCCACGAGCTTCTCTTACATTCAGCGAGTTCACTCAACGCTGATTAATCCTCAGAATCATTTTAAATTGGCTTTCTGTTGGAATAATTTGTGCACCGGTCGCCATGTGTTTTTATGTTTGCCAGTGTCCAAGGAGAGTTTCTGATGTTTCAGATACAAAAAGAAACTTCAGGAAGGACTTAGTTTTAAAAAGAATTCTGTAATTCCTGCCACTGCCACAAGAGGGAGACTAAAGTTAGCCCTGCTCGTTTAAGACAAGCAGCTGAAACACACTTTGATTCATCAGTATTCAACAAAGCCACATCAGACAGACTTTTATTGGGATGTGATGATACGAACTTTTAACACGTTTAATGACAGACGCAGGAGAAGATGTTTTCTGTTTCTGAAATCCGACGTTGGCGCAACAAATGAACCTTTAAACCCCAAAACCTGCCGGTGGGTTGGAAAGTCTTTTCATCTTTAGTCGAAGCCAGAAACTGAAAAAACTGGGTGCGCAAATTTGTAACTGATTTCTTAGCCGATATTTATCAGCCTCATCAACTGATTCCAACAAACTGAACTCTGTGGATTTAATTCCGTGTTCTAAGGCTTTGAATAAGGTCGTACATGCAAACTGCTCCAGGTGCTGTGGGCTGGTAGCATGAAGCACCACAGGAGACGTCCTCATTGTGGCACTTTACCTGCTGAACTCCCACAATGCCCTCTGCTCAACAGAGGTCAGAGTGGCTGAAGGGTGAGTGGCTCCACCCGGTGGCACAGTCAGGTATCACAGCTGTTGTACAGGGCGTTTCTGACATGCAAGCTGGTAATGTATTTTTGATCGGTTGAATTGTTATCAGTGATTAATCAATGAACAGCTCATCCTTAACACCGTTAGTAAAAGCAGAAAGAATGGTCACATTTGGACCAACAGGTTCTGTAAAAAGTTAAACATTCTGCAGTCCTCAGTCCAACCGTGAAGTCACTAGCGACGTCAAAAAGTCACATTTTCAGGAACTCTGTGGGTGAACTGCAGGCTGTGTAGACGCACATGTGGGAACAAATGAGAAACATGAGTAGTTAAATATCTATGGCATGCAGTGTTGTGACAACATGTTCAGGTTTATTCCAGTTTTTTTTAGTTTTTCTAAAGTAAATAATCATCAAATTCTCACATTTGAAGGTCGTGCATGTTGTTGTTTGGACGGATGGAATAAAAGAAAATGGAAAGCGCTTCAGGCAGGACGTTATATGGATCCCACGATGAGCCCATGTTTGGGTCGTTCCTCCTCACCCAGTCAGACTGTGTCCCCTTTTTCTCCCCAGAACCTGATGTTCCCGCCCTCACGAGTCCACCTGAAGCCAAAGTACTGCCGCTACAAGGACTTGTACTATGTGCCGGAGTCAACGGAGCCGCCAGACGTCTCCACGTTTCAACCTGTCATGTAGGCTAAACGTCGGTGTAGCTCTAGTCTGGGTTTGTCAGCCGTGAAACCTGAGCCTTGCAGCGTGATGCAGGTAAGCTCCCACCTGGTCAGAAGGGTAGCTGGAGGACTCTGTGTCGTACATCCACACTGGTTGCTCTTCATTCGTTTTTACAATAACAGCCAAAACGATGCTTAACCAGGTTCCAGCATCTACTGTAGTTTGATGCCTCCACAGTAAATGTTGGATCTTAAATCCCCCCAAATGTTCCGGTTCCGTATTATTGGAGCACGATAAATGCCAAAGTTCTTCATATTTACGCCTGATAATTTATCACACAGTCATGTTTCTGTTTCCTCAAAATGTCAGATGTCTTTTCTGTAATCTATTTTGTTGTTGTTGTTTCGTCCTTCCAGATCTTATGAAACAAAATGCTTTCAAATGTGAAATCAGAAACCTGCCCTCAGGCTCACATCCGACTCCAGCACACCTTGAACTCAGCGCTGCTTTTTAACCTTTTGCCTTTTTCGTCGCGTTTTTTTTTAAAAAAAGCTTTTCTCGCTGCACGCGCAAAAGCAACTCACGATACATCAAAGCTGCGATTATCAAATGCATTTTGTTGTGTTTCTCTTCGTCTTACCGGACAATGCCAAGGAGCGTTGCTGCACGTGCTCTGTGGATCACACTTCTGAGCAGCAGCTGTTGTTGGAGGCTCGCTGAGCAGAGACGTCAGCCCGAATGGCGTCTAGTCTCAGCTCTGCTCGGCTTCCTCAGAGTTTCAGGATCCTCTGGTTTAGCTTTAGTACACTTTCTACCGTTTTCTTTTTCTACGATACAGGAATGTGTCCGCTGAACCGTTGCTGGACTGTTTTGTTGAGACAGTTCAAATGTGACGGCGTTTTTGTGTGTTCGGTATGAAGCAGGCATGACGGCGTGCACATCGAGCCGTTTCATGTGTAGAAGTGCACCGGTTACTCAGCAGCGTTGTGTGTCAGGAGTTCTGTCGGTTACCGTTTTAAGTTTGGAAATATATCAACAAGTGTAAAATAATAATAATAATAATCTGTACGTCAGGATTTTATGCATGCAGGGATGATTTTTAGATGAAATGCACTCTAGATGGAGGTTTGTCTACGTTTCAAAGCAGCTCCACCGGGTTCGGTTGTGTTTTTGCAACGTTCAGCAGATTTAACCTCCAAACCTTCTGAAGGAGCCTGAATTACACCAGGTGGGGAAAAAAAACCTGAACTGTTAAAGCAGAGGAAAACTTGCTTTTGAGATAATTTACTGAAGATTATTTCAGGCTTGATTGCTCCGCTCGGTTCATCATCAACAAAGTAAGAATAGAAATACTGTCGAGCAGCTTGTTGGAAAATAGAGTTTGTCAGTTGGAGTTCCTGTTCTTCTTGTTTCAGAGTTCAAAAGACATTTTCTAAATATTAAAGACTGCCTTCACATTAAATGTTGATCACATTCAATTTGAATTCTGAGATTTTTGCTGGACATCCTCCTGCCAAAGCATCTCAGCTTTCATTTCCCTGTAGAACGTTTTCCCTTTGAGGTGTTTGTAAATTAGGTACAAAGTCTTTAAATTCACTTGAACTTGTCGACATGCTTCTATCATTTCTGCTTGTTTTGTATTTCCACCTGCGTTTTCTACTGTTTTGTTTGATACTTGTTGTCGAACTCAGCTTTTTGACATGAATCTTCCATTCCTGACGTGATTGTGTCTGTGCGCTCTCCGTCTGCTCGTCTGTGTGAACGCTGCCAGTGACCTGTTCTGCTGGGTTCAGAGCGTTTGTGGTTCTTCAGTGGAAATAAATGTTTCTCTGCGTGTCGCCGTTTGGTTTTGCTTTCATGTGCAGCAACAGAAAGGAAGGACAACACATTCAGTCAAGTTAAATTAGAAGTAAATCAACTACTTAGACTGCTATCAGGCAGAAGATGGTATTTAATGTCAATAAGCTCTGTGGACTCTGAAGAGACAGACAATATTACAAATCATGTTGCAGAAATCTCTGAGCAAACGCTGCAGACATTATACAGACAGAAACTCACATTCATGGAAAAGTCTGATATGCTTGAAGCTCCAGTATGCGGGCATCCTGCTCTATATCATGAGAGGGGCTCGATACTGAGCCAGCCGCGGTCACCGCAGTGATGAATCAGGGTTTTTATCTGCATGAATGGGATAAAGAACTTGGCAGGGTGGCAACAGCAGCAAATGCCGGCTTATTAGAATAACAAAAGATTGTGTCTCGTGACTTCAGATGGAGATTTATAAAACAGCTGGGTGTCTCTGTGTCAGCTGTCTGTGCATGATGAGCTTTGCACTGTTTAAAGTCACTTTTCATACTTTAACAAGAGTTTCCAAAACCGAATTTAGAATCCATAAAAATGGAGACTGTCAGACGTGTTTATTGGTGGACTGTGATGCACAACTACACATAAAAATCTCTCCTCATTTTAAACATGCTCCTGTTGTGTAAACATGCCTGGTTTCGCAATTTAATTTGTTCAAGCAGTTGTCGTGGATGTGTGCAGGGTTTAGCTCCTAAAACCACAGCACCTGATCCACAAGTGATAAATATTGTCATGTTTAAGGGCCCGTGTTCGCTATTCAGGACTATTTACAGTGAGATGCTGTCTTGAAGGGTTCCTCTGCTGTCTCACAAGAAAAATAGTAGCAGTGGGTTTGGTTTGATCAGCCTGACATGAGTAAATAACCCATTACATGCTGAATGAATTCATATAGAACAGGTTAAATTAAATGAGGAAGGGTGGTAAGAGTGACCTAAAATCTTAATGCTGCATTTGTACAAAGCTGCTTCAGTGTGTTTTACAGACGCGAGGTAGATGAAGATAAATAAGTTAGTTAGACCTCGAGTTAGAGTTCTGCTGTCATATCTGTGTTTATGCATCGTAGAGGCAGCTCAGGGTCCACACATGGCGGCACAGAGACCAAATATCAGCGTCTTCTGGATGCACGGAGAGCCTCCAGCTAGCAGCGTCCTAATCGTTTAACTGAGGCAATGGTGGCCGTGTGCATGCCTCCATGAACTCACACATTAATGCAAGCAAAGGACAAAGTAGTTCAGAGACAGTTTCCATGAATGTTGACTCAACCTCCTGAAGTCGTGTCAGTTTTCTTCTTCTGTTTCTCTGCAACATGAAGTCCTGCAGCTCTGGACCCCATGAAGGAGGAGAGACCTCAGAGACGTCTTCTGTGTTACAAAGCTATAATGCCGTAAATAATAATAAAATAAAAAAGAAACTGCATGTACAACATTTTTACCAAGTGCTCACAAGTTTTACAAACTCTGGACAAACATACATACATCGCTCCAGCCTCTACAAGCATTAGTCACTCGCCTGCAGGTCACCTGACAGCTGAGTGGAACATGGCTTCTTGGTTTTCCATCTTTTACGTGATCTGCTTGCTGTTTGTGATGTATTTGTGGTGATTAAATAGATGAAATTACATCATTTTTAAGCTTATATTTGGTCAGTGTTCCTGCAGAACGGCATGTGACATGGTTAGTTCAGGGACCGTGGAAAAGTAGAGCAGTCTCTTACATCTTCTGGCTCCGAGAAATGGTTTAATTTTGCAGGATTTTAAAGGTCATGTGAGGTAAACAGCTGAAAAATCCCTCAAGCTTTGTCATGTAACAAAGCTGATGCATGAACGACTTCCCAGTTGCACCACGGAGCTCACGTTGGTTTGAACATAATTTTTTAAACAAGATGTGCAGAATAAACAGATTTTTAATTAAAAAACTGATTTTTAGCTTCATAATCTGACAGTTCTTCCTGTTTTTAGTATTTTCTTGCTCTGATTAATTGTTGTTTTTTTTAGGGAACATGTCTTTCAGACCATCCGGTAGGTTTTGGGAGTCATACCTCTTTAACTCGACGTTGGTTTTATTGTAGACGCACACGTGCACCATTTCAGTTGAGCACTCAACACAAAGTACAGCTGTCATGAAGCAGGTTAATTGGACAGATTAAAGTTAATGCGACGATGCTGCTGGATGAGAAGTCAGAGGATCACCATCATCAGTAAACGTGTACAAATCAGTCTGAAGTGAAGACAGGCTGATTTCTCTGGACTCTGAGGGTCCCCGCATCAGTTCCTAAATGATCTTATTGTGATTAATTAACTGTATGAGGGGGCGTCTGTGCATAGACTTGTTCCAACCCTGACATATAGGAATCTTTTGGAATGAAAAGGAAGCAGATAGCGGCTGCTGTTTTGCTGATACTGTCGGCAGTGACCCCGGGTCACTAGCACGCTGTGGTGTTTTGATCAATAGTGATGAACTTGTGAAAACTGGACAACAATAAGTCATCATCACACTGCGGTGCGTCGCTATACATAACCAGACTTGTACTATAAAACCTATTTGGATGACAATACTTTATGCTGTGCCATCACACGGCTACTTTATATAAAAGGACAGCGGCACAGAGAGCGTCTATTGAGCGTCGTCTGGCCCCCGCTAATATAACAATGGGAAAGGTAAGTTCAATATGTATTACTGAAAATACACAATTAAAAAAACAGATCGATGCACCTGTTTGAACTGAATGGAGGTGATCTCTCATTAATGCCGTTTGCAGATCATATTCTACGAGGATAGAAATTTCCAGGGTCGGCACCATGAGTGCATCAGCGACTGTGCTGACCTGCATCCCTACTTCAACCGCTGCAACTCCATCCGGGTGGAGAGCGGCTGCTTCATGGTGTATGAGAGACCTCACTACCTGGGCCACCAGTACTTCCTGCGCAGGGGGGAGTACTCCGACAACCAGCGCATGATCGGCATCAATGACTGCATCCGCTCCTGCCGCATGATCCCCATGGTAAGCCTGGGAACATGAAGTAGCATGAAGCTGGGATCAGTCAGTTATTGCAGTGCAAAGGAAGAAAACATGTAAAATAGTTGTCTTCAATAAAGTCAAACCAAGGGAAGACACAAAAGTAAAAAATACCAGTCTAGACATTCTAGCACTGGCGTTATTTTCATGCCAGGTATGTAGGTAAGCAGTAAGCATGCTGCATGTTGCATCAGCAGATAGGATGTAGAGTTTTCAGAAAAACTGTGATGAGCAAGTCCCTCAAAGCTAAACAAACCATCAAAGAGTTGAACTGTGGAAGGCACCTTTGCTCTACCACGTTAGGATGAACTGATCGTTGGACTGTTGTGTGTTGGCAGTCACCAAACTCTGCTTCCTGTTCTCTCTGCAGCACCGCGGTTCCTACAAAATAAGACTGTACGAGCGTCCCGACATGGGCGGCCAAATGCAGGAGGTGAGCGACGATTGCCCCAACGTCCAGGACCGCCTCCGCATGTCTGACATCAACTCCTGCAACGTGGTCGACGGCCACTGGCTGCTGTACGACCAGCCCAACTACAGGGGCAGAACCTACTACCTGAGGCCCGGCGAGTACCGCAGATACAGCGACTGGGGCGGCGCCAGCCCACGGATCGGCTCGCTCAGGCGAATCACCGACTTTAACTGAAAAGTCTTGTGAACCGTGTTCCTCTTTCTGTTCTCAATAAACTTGCTGGGCTGAATCAGTGTGTGTGACGGTGTTTGTATTGGAGTCCTTTGTGAAAGAACTCGTCGGCCCAAATTCGTTGTCGTCTGCGCCATTCGTCTTCTGTGTTCTCCACAAGTTGCACCAAAGCAAATGTTTCAAGGTATTGAAGTAGAGCAAAGAGAAAACACACTTGACCATGCACTTTGATTTGGATAGATTTATTGCAATACTTTATTGACAGCTCTTCACCGAAACATCGGTTTCTCACATAGTGATGCGTTTGATGGACCCCACCCTTGGACTCATGCTCCCCCACTCGTTAAACCTCCTGTATTCACCAGGACGCATCAGGTACTGACGCCCCCTGAAGTGAGGATGCTCATAGAAGATCCAGTATCCGTCCGTCACGTTGCAGGAGTAGATGTCGCTGGAGTGGAAGCGTTCGTACAGGGACGGGCAGTCGTCGGTCAGCTCCATCATCTGGCCTCCGAACTCTGGCTGCTGGTAGATCTTCATTTTGTGGGAGCTTTGTTGCTGCAGAAAAAAACGTTTGTTTGTTTTTTAGCTTCTCGAGCAGCATGAAGTAAACACGTTTTGGTGGAGGCTTACTGTGGGGATCATGCGGCAGGATCGCACGCAGTCGTTGAATCCCATCCAGCGCTGGTAGTCGGGGTAGTCGCCCTTCCTCAAGAAGTACTGGTAGCCCATGTAGTTGGGTCTCTCGTAGACCATCCAGTCGCCGCTGTCCACTCTGATGGAGTTGCAGCGGTTGAAGTGGGAATGCAGGTCAGAGCACTCGCTGCTGCACTCGTAGGAGCGACCCAGGAAGTTCCTGTCCTCGTAGAAAATTATCTGGGAGGAAATGAATCAAGTTTTATTTTATTTTATTTTTTTAACGTATCAAAGTCAAATTAATGAAAATGTGTATACTTGACTGGTTCGGCTGAATATTCAACTCAGACCAGCAGATGCACAAAAGAGACCCAGCAAAACAGGCAGCCTTACCTTCCCCATTGTGTCGGCTAACTTTTGTCCCGCTGCAGCGGCAGCCGTGGGCTCCAGGCTGCCTTTATAACCCACCGATGACCTGCCGCTTTGTGGTTCACAACAATGACTGGACTCGTCAGCTCTTTTTTTTTTTCTTTTTTTTTTCTTTACCCCAAAGTTTCATGTGGACAACAAAGCCAATCAGCTGTGAGCGGCGGCTCCTGATAGCCCACTCATAGGATCTAAATGTCACTAGAAATATACAGTCTCCACACATCTGTATACATCTGAAAGCAATGATGCAACACTCATTTATGAAGGCTCATCTTTGTGAAAAAGTTTATTTATCCGACACCATCTTCACAAACATCTTCATCTTTGTACAGACACTTTATTCATGTGACTGAACTGGCGTACAACAAAGGTGCGACATTTTAAAGGCTAAAATTTAACACGCATTTTGAGTCGAACGCTGCACAAGCTGCCGGGAATCTTTAACATGAGCCTACTTTCCTAAATCCAGCGAGCACAGCCGCTGCCTCGCCTGAGTGCACAGCAGCAGCGACCTTTTATAAGCTTAACAATTCAGAGACTATTTTCTTCATGTCAGCACAACAACTCTAGTTGCTGCCTCCAGTTTGTTCGCTTTTGCTTTTGTGTGGTTTCAATCCCCCATATTGTGATATCCTCTATAGGCTAAGCTCCAGAATGTAATTTCAATACAGTCTGCATGAGCTGCTCAGCTAAGAGCGAGTTTGAACTGCTGATAAACACACAGTGTGTTCCTAGCATCATGTGAGTTGTGTGCATATTATACAGTAAATGCTGTACATGACTGTTTGCTGTTGTGCAGCACGTGGAAGCATGCAAATGTAGACTCACACTGTTCTGCAGTGTACGCTTGTCATTTTGTATTACTCACTTTAGAAAGTAGAACAATAAGCGTTGCAACTATAAACCTTTAAAAAAGATGACAAATATAGCGTACAAAGTCATTTATTTATAGGAGGGAGTGGCCTCACAGGGAAACACTGACGAGGAAATATTCTCAAGTAAAAGCACCGCTGTGACGAAACATGTTAAAGCTAAAGTACTCTGCATTAGATCGTTATCTCAAATGCGTTCGTGGATTTTCTGTTGCAGTTGGTCGAGGCGGCAAATGTTGATTATTTTCACTCCGAATTTATCTGCTGAATATATTTTTTCTATTAATTAATTAATTGTTTGGTTCTGAAAATAGTGACAGAAAGCAGCACAAACAGTCATCATGTACGACAGGCTTCCAGGTGTTTTGTGTGCCGATGTCTCAGTTTGTGAAGTGACTCAGGATCGACGCTGGCAGATCAACGTTATGAGGCACAGGAATATGCAGAGCTCAAGTAGAAAATGGAACAAATGGTACCAGTAAAGCTCGAGGACCGTAAGTTTGTACTTGTGGTACCATCCCCGGTTTGAGTCCCTCTACTGTACACTCTCCTTCAAACCTTTTAAATTTTCCTTAAACAGTCCAGATTTCTCGTATCAGATCTCCATTAATCACTGAGCAATATGCAGAATTCTACCACCTCATGGATTTCTTGTGGTTTCACACAAACTGCAGTCAAGGTCGACTTCTAGAGACGGGAGCAGTGGAGAAGTAGACGACGGTGTTTTTGTGTTTAAAGCTGAATGAAATGTGGAGCTTTCTGTTTCTAGCTTTATTATGTGCATGTAAACTTAAACAACGATGTGAGAAAGACCAGCAAACATCAGCCTTTGGTTGTTGATCATGCGTCTGCTTCGACTGGGGATGCTATCGATTGTGATATGTTAAAAAAAAGAAGAAGAAAGAAATCTATCTAAAACTCCAACATGCACCAGAGCTGTGGTGAGACTCTCCTCGGCTCCCTCATACATTAAAACTAACATTTATGTTTGGTTCTTTATTGATATTGCAACAACATCAGGATGGTTTTCGTGCAGTCAGATCTCATGTTGTTTCAGCTCCACCATCGACTATATCGACAATATTTTAGGTGATTTAGAGACTTTGGTCGTGTTGTTCCTTGATGCTGAGCCGACATTAGAACACGACGTATGGACTTTGTTTGTAGTTCTTTTCATAGAGTTTCAGGAAATGAACATTCCCAGTATTTTCTCTCCGTGCATTCAGACACCTCAGTGCATCTTGGTGTTAATGCATTTATGCGCCACTGATTGGGCAAAGCGGCCGCTGATCCGAAACTGTGCTCAAAAAGAACTTCACCCAAATGTGCGTCCAGTCAGTTTATTGTGCGCATCACACAGTAAGAGGTAAATTGACAGTGAGTTGTACAGTACAGCTGGAACTACACCAAAACAATGCACAAATCACAGTTTGGGGATGAGAACAAGGCTCCTCCTTTTTTTTTGCGCTCTACAACTTGTCAATATTAATAAAACAAAGCCAACCTATGAGCTAAAAGTCATTCACAGTTAAGACTGGGTGATGCGTCTGATTGAATTGAATCTCATGTCGTCGCTGCTCATGTCTCGGAGGTTCCTGTACTCTCCTGGCCTCAGATAAAACATGCGGCCCTCGTAATTGGGCTGCTCGTACATCAGCCAGTAGCCCTCCATCACGTTGCAGGACTGCATGTCCGACATGTGGTAGTTGTCCTGGATGGAGCTGCAGTCGTCCGTCAGCTCGTGCATCTGGCCTTCGAAGTTGGGTCTCTCGTAGATCCTCATCTTGAAGGGTCCCTTGTGCTGTGAAAGTGCAAAGTGGATGTTTATAGATGTAAAAATACAACGGCAACACTGGCCCTGACGCTTTGGGGTTTGAACTGGGCCTAAACCGGTGCTGCATTAGAACTATCGCTGGACTCGCAGAGGGACGTTTTCTCATCTAACAGGTAAAACATCAACCATCAGACGGATTCTCACATTGCTGACTGCTGATGGCATGTTTCTCATATTTACCATCGGGACCATGCGGCAGGACTGAATGCAGTCGTTGAAGCCGATGGTGTTCTGGTACTCGGGGTACTCTCCCCTGGTCAGGAGGTACTGCTGGCCCGTGAAGTTGGGCTGGTCGTACACCATGAAGGTGCCGCTCTCCACCCTGCAGGAGCTGCAGCGGCTCAGGTGGGAGGCGATCTCAGAGCAGTCGCTGCTGCACTCATACGAGCGGCCCTGGAAGTTTCTGTCCTCGTAGAAGACGATCTGGAGGGAAAGACACAGGTTGTGTTTGGGTCCAGCATTTGAAAATCTGCACAGTTAGATGACAAAGAGTTGTGAGATCAGCACAGGAGCAGCACAGATCTCACGGTGTCGCATGGTAGCTTGTTGGTACGTTTACAGTATAAAATGATTCCAAAGCCTCGTGCACTGGCTGCTGCACAGACCTGCAGCCTGCATTACCTTTCCGCTCATGGTCACACTATTTGATTTCTGTTGTTCTTCTCACTGGCGCGCTGCCTTTTATGCATCATGTGACATCAAAAGAATCCGCTTCTCAATTGTATGAAATAACTGAGTCAGCTCACCGGTATGGACGTCCTTACTGTACTATACATCAGAGCTGTGGACACTGCAGTCGCTCTCATTAAACTGTGGCGGTGCAGATTTCACCGTGACAAAGCAAACTGTGCTTTACTGTACTTTTGCACCACCCCGTTCATTGTAGGACACGTTTATCTGCATAAAGGCTCAGATTTTATTGTGGAACATGAAACTTTTGTAGGAACACAATCCTCTCATTCGTGTGAAATTTAGCTCCAGAGCTGCAAAGCCCGCTGGTGCCCAGTTTAGTGACCTGTTGGGATTAATGTGGTGTGATTTAAACCAAAGATTTATTCGCACATCTAGTCCACGAGGCAGTTGCCTCAGAGAGAGATGAGCATCAATGAAATATACATTTATTAGTTCTTTGTTTTTGACGGAGGAAGGTTTGTCACCAATAAATGTATGTTTGACTTTGGACAGTGCAGGAGTCTGATTGTTAGCGGTCAGTCGTAACTACACTGATTAAATAGCAGTAATATTGGCTGCATTATCCTCTAACACAAACACTCTCTGTGTTGTGTTCTGCCAAACCAGCGCTTTTGCTCGTTCACACTCGTGTGCAAAGCAACACGTGACTGGTGCCGAAATCCGTACATAACATGGCTGTATAATATTTTCCTCGGAGGATGATACTGTCTTCACAAGCTCCGTTCTGGACGGCACCACCCTCAGGACAGACTTGGTACCTTCCCCACTGGTATCAGTAAGTAAAATAGGAGCTTCACTGCTGCTCATGATGGAGCTCAAGTTGTCTCCTGTAAGTTTCAGCAAACACAATGAGCAGTTTTCAGATTCTACCCAGCATCTTATTAACGATGACTTTTTGTTCTGGTGAGACTTATTATAATTCAGTTGTGATTGTTGTGTTGTGTTGTTATATTATATGTAAAATGATGTGCTCAGAATAGCAATAAGTACAGCGGCCCTGAGTAATGATGGATGTTTGAAATGAGCAGCGCCGCTAATAGCGTGCAGCTTCATCAGTCCTTTTAGGTTTGGAGCTCCCTATTCAGAAACTTAGTACATATTAATAGCAATTTAATTCCAAAACCTTTATTCTGTGAAGAATATAACCACTTTTCTGGAAGTGGTTCTTATAAATTGTAATATTTCTTATTAATGGAAAGCAGTGTGTACCACAGTATGGAGCATTTATTGAATGCATGAGCAGCCCAGGCCTTTCATTAGGATGTTATAAGGAGAGAAACGGTTCTCTTCCATCGCTGTCAAACGTTTGACGCCACATGAAGAAATCAAAAATAGATACTTCAAAATATGTAGTTTATTTTTGAGCCACAGATTCATATCAGCACATATCCATGATGCGTCTGATGGAGCTGATCCTCATCATGTTGCTCATTCCCATCTCTCGCAGGCTCCTGTACTCTCCCGGCCTCACGTACATCATGCGCCCTCTGAAGTTGGGCTGCTCAAAGATCAGCCAGTGTCCGTCCATGACGCTGCAGGACTGGCAGTCGGACATGTAGAGACGCTCCTGGAGAGACTCGCAGTCTTCCATCAGCTCGTGCATCTTGCCAGCGAAGTTCTCCCTTTCGTAGATCTTCATCCTGAACTGTCCCCGGTGCTGTTGGAGGAAGAAAAGGCAGCTTAGAGTTTCCCATCTGACCTGACAACATCCGCACAAACCCAAAAACATCGACCAACATGTCTCACCATGGGGATCATGCGGCAGGAGCGAATGGAGTCCATCATCGTCATACCCGACATGCCCATCATGCCCATCATGCTCCCCAGGCGCTGGATGTCAGGGTACTCTCCCCTCCTCAGAAACACCTGATTGCCCATGAAGCTGGGCCGGTCGTACACCATGAAGCAGCCGCTGTCCACCCTGCAGGAGTTGCAGCGGCTCAGGTGTGTGTGGATGTCGGAGCAGTCGCTGCTGCACTCATAGTTGCGACCCTGGAAGTTCCTCTCCTCATAGAAGATGATCTGCGGTGCACAACAGGAGCAAGCAGTTAGATGACAGTACCTCAGAACAGTTACTGTTTATCAGAACCCTCGCATAGCAACAGTATTTAGAATTATTAATCAGCGTTCAGCTTCGTCTGCAGCCCTGTACAAACATGCTGTGAATATTACCCTGCCCATGGTGACGGTTTGCGTTTCTCTAAGTGACACCAACCCAACGCTACGTTTATATAGACTCTCAGCCGCAGGACACCTTGCACACCTTTGTGTGAAACCTCATGACTCATCATGAGGTTCACGTGGCCCTGCATTCATTTTTTTTTTTTTTTTTTACAGAACACCTGAATAGTTATTGTGTGTTGAATGTAATTTAGGGAGGTCATGTAAGTTCGGAGCAGAAGCAACATGTTCTCAGTATTTAGCCGTGACCATCCGATTATTTATTGCACTTCAGTGAAGGTCACCGTGTTGTTGCTCACTGGAATCTACAGTGTTTGCTGCAGTTATAGTGAATGCTGCTGGTTTCACCACCAACACCTTTGGACAGGACGTTCACACCGTATAGATTTTCACAGAAGCGATATGAAATAAATAGCTGAAGTTGCTGGAAGCCCCCCGATATTCAATTCACAGTACGCAGCGCAGATGGTGACATACAGTAAAGTATGCCATCCTATAGTGCTGCTGTGTGCCACAATATAGAGTGATGACTCAAAGGTTTCAGCACAAGCCATGTGGAAATACTATGGCTGTGCAATGTATAAAAAGGCTAAAGGGTCGATGTTGATGCTCTACATCTGAGATTAGCTCACCAATATCACAGCCATGGGGAGGGTAAGTGAAGCTATAGACACGTCCGAGCGACAGTAACGCTCCAAAGATTTACAGAGAATTTACTGCACGACACAGTGGACTTTATGTTGAGGTCCCATTGCTGACTGCAGATTATATTCTGTGAAGACCAGAACCTTCGGGGTCGCCCCCATGAGAGGAACAGCGGCTGCCCTGAGCTCCCCTCCTGACTGAGCAGGTGTCGCTCCTGCCGGGTGCAGAACAACCCCTTCATGGCCCATCAGATGCTGGTGAGGAGTATCCAGGCAACCAGCACCTGATGGGAGTTAGCGTGAGCGAGCGCTTCACGTCCTGTCGCATCATCCCCACGAGCGGCAGGAAAGTTTAACACACTTATCTGTACTAGGGCCCAGTCACACCCAGAGACCTCATTTTAGATAGTTTCCACGTGAAGACATACGAGAGAGCTGGGCACAAAGCAAAGATCCGTCCCACCTCCATAACACAGACTCAGCCTTCCTCCATGTTGGCCTCCAGCGTCTTTTGAAAACACCAGAAGCTGAATGTGCCACAAACATTAAAGAAAAAACAGAGAATCAGTCGTAACCGTGACCTTATGTGCAATATTCTAAACTAAGTCCACGTTCAGTCCCAGCCGGACCTGCTCAGCTGTAATCATTTGACCAAAACAACCGAACTAGAACCACGTGGTACCTGCTGAACAGGTTACATTCACTGATGACGGCTGTGTTTCTGAGTTGATAATTGACAACACAGTATAACTGAATTTGGCGCAGATACTTTGGTGCCATTAATGGTATTTATTAGCGATCAACCAGTATATTTTTTTGGGCGAATTCCAATTATTAGTACCAACATATATTAAATGTTATATAATATTATATAATGTGATAATAGGGAACATGTCATTTATAACTCGGCTTCTCCATTAATCAGGATTGCAGTAGAGGAATTCAGTTTCCGGATTTGTGACGGCAGATTGTGTTTCTTGTTCAGTTTTTGCAGGTTGCATCTCAGTTATTGAGCCGTGTCAGATTGTTCAAGGTAGTTTTACTTTACAGGGATGTTACGGTGCTCCAGACAGCGTTGGCCACAGGCCTGACAGTTAGCGTCCTAGGGATAGCCTCCGCCGAGCGTCGTCGACAACAAAATGCGCTTCGAGCCGCGATGCTGAATTTTTCAGCCACTTTCAGTGAAAGTCAATCGATTACATTAATGGAAACAAAACTGCGCTCTGCAAATGTCCATCTGTCAGCAGTAGCTTTCAGGGTTGACTGGCTGTTGCTGGTGACATACAACCAGTCAGATTGTGCTGTAGGCGGGACATCGCTGAATGACTGTAGAGAGGAGGGCAGCTGCATCAGAGCACAGTTAATTTATCAGTAATCATTCATGAAAATATTACACATATTCAGATAATTGCCGCCTGACGTTCAGTATTTTGCAGGATGAGGAGAAACAGCAAGCAAACGGAAAAGAAGAGTGAAAATCAATGCTTTAGTCACATCAGTGAGTTTCCGTTGTTGTCGCTGATGACTTGTTCTATGAAAGTTCACACAGTGCTGAGCCGAGCTGTCCAACACGCCGTACGCAGGATTTGGTTCATTACTTTTGAAGATGTGACTCAGAAGCTTCAGTGTTTCTCAAGCAACTGAGGCTTTTATAGTGGATGGAAAGTGGCAAAGCTACGAGGCAGTGCAGTCATACCGCTGCTCGCTGTGGTTCGTTGGCCACCAGTGGAGTCACACATCCAGCGTCTGAACTCTTTATGTGTCGTTTCTAAAGTGCTCTGGGGTTGTTTGTTATGTCTGGAGGTGAGTTACCTCAGTTTCTAATGCAGTTGAGTTAAAAACTATACTTCCTGAATGCATGACCATTTAACCTCTAAGTCACCACGTGGTTTATGCTGGAAAGACTAAACGACTAGCTGGCATCTTCTACGCCTGCTCCGCTGGGATGTGTACTCGACCGTCACTACAGCTTTGCTCTGTGTCGAACACCAATACTTCTGTTTAAGGCTCGTCTGCTCACCAGATGTGGACTTTGGGTATAAGCCTGCCGTTTTCCTTCCCCTTCTGCTCTCTGCCGGTATTGTTTTCAAAATTTCCTTCGCTATGATGAAGAAGAACCTCCGAGCGTCAACCTACCGTACTGAAAATGGCCCGTTTTGACTGACAGGCCCGCTTGGTTCCGTCGGGGAATTCGCCGTTTTAACGGCAGCGCTCGCCCCGACACTATTTTTTAGGGACGCCATTGCTGCACCGTGGGCTGAGCAACGCCTCGAATGTTTGTGACGAGTTTAAAGAAATACAGACACAATGAAAAAAAAAACAACTGGAGATAAACACCAAGAATAAACAAAACTACAGCGTGAAGCCGGTTTGTGACCATCAGACATGGTCCTCTGGAGTCAGCGTTCCACTCCTTGAATTAGACTTCATGATACCTGCCCTCATGATACTTGCCAACAAAGTAAAATTACTTTTCCAGACTCATCCGTCTCAGCTGGTAAAGTTATGACTCCACCCTGCAAAGAGGCTTTTCTGTTTCCAGCAGGTGTAAGCATTTCATTAAACAGATAGTCATTTATATATTTTTATTATTTATATTTGCAACACCAGATTAGAAGATGATGATGATGAATTACACTAGTTCAGTCACAACAACCTGAATCAGAAAGTCAGTGTAGTTATGATCCGAAACTAATGAAAGATTCAAAACAGTGAAGTGACTGAATGTTGGGAGGTGTTTCAGTTCGATTGCCGCTCAGATGATTTGCTGCTGTCATGAAAACACTGCGCTCAATCACTTCTTTCCATCAGAGTCTGTCGCTGGTCGTCTGCCTTCACTGTTCCAGCATGTGTTTGATCCAGAGTCATCATCAGGCTGGAACAAAGGCAAATCAAACTGCACCAAGCCATTTTGCTGATATGTAAATCTACCTCATTTGGGTATCAAAGACTTGCCACACTCTGCACATTTTGCTTATCGATAAATACTTTGATGCGGCTGCAGCAAAGAATGAGGTCTACAGCGCGTCCAAATGGGGAAGGTAAGACATCACGAGCAGGGTGCTGTCAAAGACTCCTGTTCCTGTGAAGATACTCTGATTCACCAAATGCTTTCTTTTCCACAGATCACGTTTTTTGAAGAGAAGAAATTCCAGGGCGCCTGCTACAACTGCAGCAGCGACTGTGCCGACCTGCACACGTACTTCAGCCGCTGCAGCTCCATCCGAGTGGAGAGCGGCGCGTGGGTGATCTACGAGAAACCCAACTACAAGGGCTTCCAGTACGTCCTCAGCCCTGGCGAGTACGCCGACAACCAGCAGTGGATGGCTTTCAGCGACAGCGTCAAATCCTGCCGCGCCATAAAGAATGTAAGACTCCTCGTTCAGAATCCTTCGTGCTCGTGGTAGAAGGCTGTTGTGAAATGTGTCCAGGTCGTCACAGCGGCACAGCGAAGGCAGCAGACCAAGCTGAGTGTTCAGCAGTGTGCAGCCAGCAGACCGAACAAGCAGACAATAGGAAGCACATTTGGCAGCAGCTTTTTCTGTAAGGTTAGCCAAGAAATGTGAGAGAGAGAGACATCATGAGGAAAAACATCAGCCAGTCAGCTCTCTGCAGCAATGTGACCTCTTTCACTTTCAATGATAGACTTTTTCACAATGTATGGATTAACTGATCCCAGTGACCAGAAACATCAGACCCAGAGTTACTGCAGCTGTTTCATCGTGACACTTGTGCACTGTATGCAGAGAGCTGACTTTACCGAGATGCATTGGAGACGTTCTCGTTTGGACCTCTGCAGTCAGTGCATCTCGTGAGACCTGAAGCGTGGCACAGATTCTTGTTTGCTTCCTGTTTGAGAACAATGTCAAATAGCAGCCGGCACTTGCAGCTGAGACAGCCCTTCGTGAGCTTTCTCCCGTTTGTTTGCAGGTGTACGGTAACGCCTGGAAGCTGAGGCTGTACGAGAGGCCGGACTTCGGCGGCCAGATGGTGGAGTGCTGCGACGACTGCCCGTCAGCGTACGACACCTACAAGGTTCGGGAGGCGTACTCCTGCGTGGTGACCGACGGCGCCTGGGTGTTCTACGACCTCCCCAACTACCGCGGCCACCAGTACTGCGTGGAGCGAGGCGAGTACCGGCAGCACGGCGACTGGGGGGCGGCCTCGCCTGGAGTCGCCTCCTTCCGCAGGATCACAGAGTTTTAGCTCCTGGTCTTAATCAGGACGTGAAGCAGGATGTCTGCACTTCACCATCAATAAATGAAACGCAAACGGTGGCTTGTGTCCTAGTGGGTCTCTGAAACCACGTCCATTCATGTGGAAGACTGTAGCAGCAACTTCAGCCTCTTTCTACATTTAATTTGAGAATTTTTAATTTACAAAAACATCAATAGTTACTGAACTCACGTGGGTTGTTTTGGGATATCAATCGTATTTTACTTATGTTGCACCATCACACAAAGACCAGAGACTGTGGAAAAGGTCAGATACAACTTGTCAAGTGTGAATAAAATATATAAAAGATGATTACAAAGAAAAGACTGAACACCTGCTTTAGAAGAGCAACAGTAAAAGACAAATACATGTAGTAAATCTAGATATTAGGCAACAATACTTAATACAACATTAAAGTGGTCGTATTGCACTTTAACAAAGTTCGGGACCTTGAAGTTGCTTCGTTGCCTCGGTCATGATCACACCACAGATTCCATGTTGTTGTTGATGTGCTGCTGTTGAAGTCCACAGTCGGTCTTATCGGTATACTCTGTGCACATTCTGCCTCTTTGTAACGGCCACGGGTACATATTTGGGAATAACAAGACCAGACTGGTATCTATATTAAAAGAGAGAGAACCGTACCTGCAACGCCATGACAAAAAGCTTCAGGTGCAGACTCACCAGTAGGACCAGTGGGACCAGTGGCACAGTTTCACGGCACCGAGGATTCTCTGGGTGGCCAGTCGCTCCCATGTCACGTCTTCAGAGTCGGGTTCACTCCACAGGAAGTTTAAAGTCAGTCGAACTGATTTTGAAATCGGTGTTTAGCGTTGTTTGGAACCAGCATCCCTCCGGACGGGAGCGCGGTAATCCCCACCATCTTGATTTTCACTCCTAAATCGCCCCCGTGAGTCCGTTCACTTTGAGGTTTCATTTTGGCCCAACGTTGGTTCCGACCAAGATCCCGAAACAGACGTGGCCTCCGATTGTGTGCAGGGCTGAAACGGGTAAACTGGCCCAAAAGTCGGGACAAAAACGGGAGAACAAAGCAAAAGAGAAAAATCAAACCTACAAAACATAAACAGAACTGTTTGACAACTTGAGCGTTTCTTCCACAAATGAGCAACGATTTAAAGTCATGACAATTAACTATTTTAAAAAATGACAAAACAAATATTAAATTGCTTTATTTGATTTTCAAAAATGCTAAAATACTGTAAGCAGCATGTTCAACATTGTTCAAGTGTTTCACCGTCGACCAAAAGTCCCTGAATGGATCTTTGGCTGCAGATGAGTCGCTGAAGGCTTCACGACGGCACCGAGGAGCTGCCACTTCCAGAACAACTGTGATGAAGTGTCACGATTTTAAACGGAGATTTGATTCATTTACAGCAGGAGTGGTAGTGATGGTTGAGAATCTGAAGATGAATTAAAGGGTCAGAGGGTTTAACCTGTCTGCCAACTCGGTCCGTCCTAAACGCTTTTGATCACCTTCGATCGCATGCTTTTGAATTAGTGGTGGATTCTAAAAATAAGTCTAATCAATTTAAGCTTTTTTAATTAAATAATCACGATTAATTGCATTTTTATTAAACCGCAATGTTTGATGCAAAGTTTTTCACTTCACATACCTTTTGGTTGACGACTGAACCAATGAATAGACACATACGTGATTTTCTATCCGTCTACTGCATTCACACATTGGTGCAAACTCAACATTTTAAGACTTTTACTTGCACAGTTTGCACACAACCATGCTCGTATCCAAGCTGCCTCGTGCTACCGGGAGTTTCGAGCGACGAGGCGTAACGTCGCCCTCGGGCTCATTTGCATAAAGCAGACTTGACTTCAACTTTATGCAAATGTGGCAAATCTTAACCAGATGCTCCCTGTGGACACGCAGCATCAGGCCTCGACGAGAACAACAACTTTCCAAGTGATAAGGTCTTCTAATGCATCCTGTGCAGCTTCTTCACAGCTGGTAAACCAACTCTAGGTGCATTAGCGCCACCTAGCGGCTGCAGCGTGTGCATCAGTGTGACCGGTGTGCCAGAAATTAGGGAACTGAGAAAAGTGCATTTAAATTTATTGTTTTTTCTGTGATTAATTAGTCAAATTAACACGTTAAAGTCCCCGTCCTGTTTTAAATCTATGACTAACTGTTGAATTGAGGCTTGATTTTAAAGAATGATATCAGAAACCAGATTGCAGTTAGATGTTATCCCCACGTTGTTCAAAGCAACCCTGAGAATGAACTCAGTGAACTGTTTGTTCAAATGGGATCTTTGTCATGTACGGTTGGGAATGTTCTGGTCGGCAAAACAAACAGAAAGAAAGTCACCAAAGCACAGGACAAAAATCATGTCTGAAGCAGGAGTCATCACATCGGTTCCACCCTGACGTCTGTTTTCAGGTCAGCTTCTGGTTTAAATCGATTTAATGATCCTAGCTGTCGTGGGTTGGAACAGGAGGTCCTTGTTCACGTCCTGCGTCTTTTAACTGTGATTTTGTTTCCTTCAGCCGTCTGGAACCCGAAGCAGCACTTTCTTTATCCACTGTGGCTCGTTTTTCAACATGAAGTCCTGCAGCTCGTCAGAAACAAATGACTGGAAGTAGACAGAATGTTTTCTGTGCAGTTCAGCGAGGGCACAGCATTTTCCCAGCTGTTAGCCGTGGGGGAGGAAGCGGTGGCGTACTGTACCTATTAGGTTTCACACTTGTCCCCTCTGGTCTCTGTGAACACTGCCTGCAGTTCAACCAAACCCACCTGAATGTTTGTCATGTGACTGTTGGCCTCAGCTGAGTCACCAACGGCTTCACAGTTGGGACCAGGAGCTGGGAACTGGTCTTTGTGGCTTTCAGGTGGTTTATTTTTTGCTAATTTTTGAATGAGGCGTATAGAATGAAGTGACTTTAAAAATCTGGATTTGTTTTTGCTGCATGTCGCACACGGTCTGGCTATCTGCTGTTGGAGAGTGAAAGAAAAAACAAGAATCCTTTCTTACAGTGTGTGGCTCTGATAAATGGTGTGATTTTTGTTATTTTTCTTAAAGGATAACGTGTCTTTGAAAACCTGCTGGCGGGTTTTTGGGTTCGGAGGACTAACGGTCGACCAGGACCGTTCCTTCTCACGAGCTGCATCAGTGGAAGGAATCAGTTTTAATCGAGAATAACATCAGCAGCTGTAAATGTTCAAACTGCTGCAGTCGTCCTCAGATGTATTCATCTCCTTCCATTAAAGAAACGGCAAAACTCACAA